AGAAAGATGTTCCACCATGAGATGAGGAAAGATGCTCCACCATGGTGGATGTATCTCCAACAACCGGCTCCTCTGTTCACCGTTTCTGAGCCGTGCTGCCGTTACTTTATTGATCCAGTAGGTTTTATTTTCCTCTCAGTCTCTCTCGTCGTCTCGTGCCTGCAGTTCACCTGAAAACTCTGAATTTTTCACAGCTGAGTCAGAACTGTTTGGTGCAAACACTTCATTTTTATTGGGTTGTTAAATGAGACATTAAACAGAATGATTTTGGTAAAATATCAAGATCCAGAGCTCCGATTTGTTTAACCGCACCGACAGACCTGAACTTGATATGTTCAAGAACTGAACTAAAATCAGATGATTCATTGCGCTTCTACAGTTTCTGGCAGATGAATGGTGTCATTTTAATGTTTTTTTTAAGGAATCAGGCCTTTCAAAGCTGCCAGCAGGTTTTGGGGTTTGATATTTACCTGCTGCTCCTGAACATTTTTGATGTTGATGAAAATATTATTTCCTTACTGCAATTATTAATTTAAAAAAAAAGTACTTATCTTAATTTAAAATATAAGAAATACAAATTTGAAGTGATTAAAGAACAGCTTTTATGTTGATGGAGTGTCATGGTACTGATCCGTCACGCTTTAAAGATATTACACAACAAATACTGAGGTGAAGCTTTAAAACATCATATCACAAATCACTGTCAGATATTTGGACACTAGCTCTGGGAGACTACCTGTGTGTGTTCTCAGCAGCTGAGGGAATTTATTTCCTGACTGTTCCACATATTTATATTTTTCTACTTTATGTTTTGTTGAAATTTTAAATATGCGAGAAATATTTTGCGGCTCACTGCACACAGGGAAGCCTTTGCACACGTCTCATTTGTTGTGACATTACAGATTTCTCTACACATCTGCATGCTGCAGATTCTCGGTGCTCCACACGTTTCATATTACACATGTTTTTATTACCTCGCTCAGAGTCTTCAGTCATTCTGTGAAAAGTTTTGTGCCAGAAGTGTTTTATGATCAGCATGAGATGAGTCACTGCTCTTAACGTCTGTCGGCATAACTGATGCTGAACTCTCCCACAGGACCCCAAACGCACCGTGTGAGCCACAGTGACACAGTAGAAATACTGCACCTCAGTGTGCAGAACCACATGAATACATACAACCAAACAAGCCAGGAGATACCACAGGAAGTACCGAAAATCTAACCGACACAGTGACAGACACACTGGTAACACACAACAAATATCAGCGCAAAAATACACCGAACATTAGACACTAAAACGCCACCTTAACGAAGTAAAGCTCCCAACGTCACTCATTAAAAAACATTGTTATGCATCAATCAGAGCACCATAATACACCAAAAAGCCTGGATTTATACAAGATTAATCAATTAGTTGTCACCTAAAAATAATAACTACCAACTACTTCAATAATTGATTAATTAGTCGTAGTAGTTTTTAACAAAATTAGTCTAAATTCTGATATTGCAGCTTCTTAAAATGTTTTTTTTTTTTTTCATTTTGGACATTTGTTTGGTAAATTTTGGCAAATTTAAGTCTTTTTGGACATTTTCTTGGACATATTTGCCATTGTGGACATTTTATTTTCTCATTTTAGACATTTGTCTGAGTACAAGTAGGCAAATATTCAGTCATTTTGGAAAGTATTTTTTTCAAATTCAAATACTGAGTCATCAGTCAGTTGAGGTGGTCTGGACATCTGATGCCTCCGGAGAGGCTTCTACCGGAGGTCTTCTGAACACGTCCACCTGGGAGGAGACCCCGGGGCAGACCCAGAACCTGCTGGAGGGATTATATCTCTGGGCTGGCCTGGTAACACCTCAGGATCCCCCAGGAAGAACTGGAAAGCGTCGCCGGGGGGAGGAAAGTCTGGAATGACCTGCCCCACCTACTGCCCCCGCGACCCGACCCCGGATAAGCGGAAGAGGATGGATGGATGGATATTGAGTCACTTTTGACATTTCTTGTCATTTTGGACAAATTTAGTAATTTTGGACATTTTTAGGATTTTTTTAGCAAATCTTGAGTCATTTTGGACAAATTTTAAAGTAATTTTGAGTCATCAGTGTTAACTATTCAGTTTCATTCAGTAGCTGTAACACTTCGGACTGCTGCTCACCAACCGCTGATCACAGATCTGAACTGAATCTTTGACTGAATGTTCATCTATGCTCTTAATCATCTGACTTCTGTGATTGTAGCTTCCTAAATGTAAAGAATTTCTGGTGTCTTCCTCCTCTATGACAGTGAACTGAATATCTTTGGACAAAACAAGACATTTAAGGAAACACTGATCCACATTGTTCTGACCTTTTAGACCAAACAGCTGATGAAATAATCCACAGTGAGAATAACGGTTAGTCGCAGCTTTACACAAAACAAAATCCAGCGTGGCGCATCAAACGACAGCACAGTGAGACGGCGGGCAGGAACCGGCACTACTTACTTCCTGTCGGTGTGGTCGAGGCCGCTCAGCCGGACGCCTTCGATCTGCTCGTTGCGTTGGCCGCAGGTGTTTCCGTAGCTGTCATATCCGAAGACGAGGCGAGCGGCGCCGCCGGTGACGATGGTGAAGCCGCAGATGCTGCCCTGAGGGACAGAAACACAGAAACTATCAACAGGATTTAATACAGGGATGCTCTACGGGGCCACGAGGAAGCTCACTAACACTCGAATATTCACAGTTGAGCTGTGGCCAAACAGAGAAACTGTACGACTGAATTCACATCGACTCTCCAATAAAAACCAGCAGGTTATCAGTGAATTAAATGCTGCACAGAGTGACTCTGCCTCCAGCCTCATCAGCCTAAATGTATGCCAAACCACATAAAGAACCACCAGTAGCAGCAGATTACATCACTGGAACCTCGTGAGCTTCACAGAGCAGCTGCACTGATTCATATCACTTCTGTAAATACATCGACTGCACAAGAACTACTGAGGACTCAAACCAGTCAGCGGCCGTTTCAGATGATCTGCATGTTTAGTTGTTGAGCTGTGAGACACAAACTGCTGGGTGCAACGTTTAAACTCCACTTTTTGAACAAAATGCAGAAACAGAGGTGGTTTTATGCCGGTTTGCACAGAATCAGCATCGGTTTGTGTTCTCTGTGTGTGTGGTTCTGCCTCTGTGTGGCCGGTGTTGGTCTCTTCTTGTGTGTCTTTGTAGGTGACGGTCTCTCTTTGTTGCTGCTTCGTGTCTCTGTTTACATTGGCTTTTCATCTGCTTGTGTTCAATTAGCATCTATTTTAGTCTATTTAATCTATTCCTTGCAGCTCTTTTGTCTGGTTTGTGTCTCTTTGCAGCCGTTTTGCACCTAGCAGTTAATTTGTGTGTCTATACTTTGGGTTTATGTCTGTTTGCTTTGAATCAGCATCTGTTTGTTTGCCTTTTGCGTCTCTTGGTGTTTGATTCTGTCTCTCTGTGGATGATCTGTGTCTCTTTATGGCCTTTTGGTGAGCCTTTGGACCGGTCCAAAGCTGGAAAAACACAGGGGTGTTCACAGATAGTCTGGCAGAAAGGCAGATCGACCAACCGATCCACTGGTGGACCTCGACTCTCCAGACCTGCCTCACAGACTTCTGTCACCTGTCATTGGTCGGTAAAGCTGCGCTGCTCTCCTTTGGTCCGTTTTGATGGTGTTGGATTGTTGAGAGTCCGGCTGCACTCGGCAGTCCAGTGAAAACTCTGGATGTGTTGGATTCTCTCCTCTGGTTCTCGACAGTTTCACAGTTCACATTTTGAAAGCTGCATGTTTCTCTGAAGTCACTGATCGAGCTGACTTATATGATCTGATGTTTAACCTGAGATCATCTGAGAGTTTAACGCTGCATTCAGCAAGAAGCCTCCCTGATATAACGAGCCAGCAGGCAGCAAGACTTTTCCTTTATACCATCTCCACCAGTTTTATGTTCATTTACACGCAGAAAAATACACAAAACAATAAATATAAATACAGAGTTCACAGAGAGATACAGGAAACATGTTCACGGTATTTTAAAAAAAACAACATTAAACCTAAAGTTGTCTCCAGGCTGACGTCAGTATTCGGTGCCATCTCATCTCTTCCGACTGTCTTCTCGTTGTCTTTAGTGACCTTGTGGGATTTTATAGAAAGCTTCTAAAACTTTCACAGTTCTTTAGTTGTTATTTGTTTCTCTGTTCCACACGGCGTCACTAATATTCAGGTTTACAGGTCAGTTCATCACTGACGCCGTTTTATTTTTATATCTAGGTTCTTGTTGTTGACGTATGGTACATTAATATTCTCATTTTTGACTTTTTCTGCATTAATATTTAGATTTTTGACATTTTGGAGGGTTAATATACAGGTTCTGAAGGTCATAGTGTGCTAATACTCAGGTTTCTGATCTTTAGGTGTATTGACATACAGGTTTTTGACTTTTTCTGCATTAATATTAATAGGTTTTGGACATTTGGTGCAATAATATTTAGGTTTTTTGACATTTTGGTGCGCTAATATCCTGGTGTTTGACATTGGGTGCATTCATGTTCAGGTTATGGAAATTTTGATGTGTTAAAGTGTGAATATTTTCAATTTTTTGAGAGGTAATAGCTAGGTTTTTGGCATTTCGGTGCATTAATATTTAGATTTTTGATCTTTTGGTGCATTCATATTAAATTTTTTTTTTCATTTTAGTGTGTTAATATTCAGGTTTTAGACATTTTTATGCACCATTATCCAGGCGTTTGCCAGCTGTTGCCTTCATATTCAGGTTTTTGGCATTTCGATGTGTTAAAATTCAGGTTTTTGATGTTTTTGTGAATTAATATTCAGGATTTGGTTCTTTCAGTGAGTTAACAGCCAGGTTTTTGACATTTGGTACAACATTATTCAGGATTTTGACATTTTGGTGTGTGACTACACCACTGTTTGAAGTTTAATACTGACTATCCAGATTTTGGATGTTTTGGTGCATATGTATTCAGGTTCTTTGGTGCGACATTATCCAGGTTTTAGATGTTTTAGTGAGTTGATATTCAGTCTTTTGGTGTTCTGATGCATTCAGGCTTACAGTGCGCTTGAGATTATTGTCGTGAAAAGCACAAACACATTTAGATCCGTTGTGTGATTCCTTTTGGAAAGGGTCTTGTTTATTTTGCAGCACAACAACGATGCCAAGCACACTGAAAACCTGAACATTGACGCACCGAAACGTCAAAAACCTGGACACTAACGCATTTAAATATCATAAACCTTAATACTGAAACATCAAAACCTCAATAGTAACGCATCAAGACGTCTTAAACCTGAATATTAACGTGCCAAAACGTCAAACACCTGGATATTAACATCAAAATACCAAAAACCTAAATGTTAACACACTGAAGCATCAAAAATCTCAATGTAAATACATAAAAACACCAAAAACCTGGATATTGATGCACCAAAGTCTCCAAAACAAGAACTCTTGATAAAACAGTGACGGACATTCGTGAACATTAGACGCTGTGTGGGACCATATGTGGGAGGCACTACAGGAAGCTTCCTATGACATATCACAAGACCACTAAAAAAACCTGAAGACAGTCGAGCCAAGAGGAATAAAGATCAGCGCAAAGAGACGTCAGGCTGAATGCTGACCTGGAAAACACAACTGGTTCTGAAAGTGTTTTTATGACCGTGTACATGTTTCCTCGTTGCGCCTCAATAAAGACACCGAGAAGTAAATATGTGAGATTATTTTATCTTTGCAAAGACAACAAACCCAAATTGTAGACGAAGACTTGGCCGAATGTCAGTGAATGCAACAACTGAGTGCACGTGAAAGCACCATTCAACTCCAACGTTTATGTAAATGATTCAAACTTATCACAATGTTCTCCTTCACCGATTCAGTTCTGCTGACATGCTTTAGAGGGATCGAACCGCCAACCTTGCAATTAGTGGATAACCCGCTTCACCACCTGAACCTGAAGGTGTAGCAGCAGCCAACCAGCTGAGCAAAACTTGGACATGAACACACCAGCATGACAAAAAACTGAAATATTAACACAAGAAGTTTAAAAAAAATCTATATTAATGCACCACAGTGTCTGCTAATGCAAACGAGAGTCAACAACCTGGACATGAACTCACCAAAACATCTACAACCTGGATACCAACACGCCAACATGTCAGAAACCTAACTTTTAGTCATGCGGTCATTTATTCAGTTAGCCGTGTGTTTGATCCATGAACATCTCAAAAAGCAAAGTTCAGTTTGTCCTTTACAGCTGTTAGTCTTTCCTCTGACAATGCCCAAAGAGAGAGGGCTGCACATCTTCAGAAAACAGCTTTAGCTTCATCAGTAACTGATAAATGATCCCTGACATGGGGACATGATGGATCAGGATCCAACAGCAGGTCACACTGAGGGCTTTTCTCCACCTCAGTTTCTCAGTCCTGAATCCTGAGCTCCCTCACAGCTGGATAGGATTTCACTGTAAACCTCTTGTATCAGGGATTTTCTCAGGGAAATTCTCCTTTTCACAGCAGTATGTTTGCATTAGTGACTGTATCGATGCAAAACAGAACGTCACGACTCAAATCATTAAAGCAGCTACCAACGAGAAAACACACTCTATGGAGCCACAATAAGAAGAAATTTGTAGGTTTTTGGCAAAGCGTCTGAGTTTCTTACAAGCGCTACACAAAACGTATGTATTATTATTATAATTAGCTGTAGTTGTAAAATTACCACACATGAGCAGAATCATTTTTAAAAATCAGGCGTGAATTATCAGTGAACCTGCTCCCCTCAACTACAGCAGCATCTCTGCTCCTGGGCTGCTTTGAACGCCGCCAACCACCAGGTATTCATCCTCACACATCATATCATTAGATAAACAGAGACACTACCTATAATAGAAGGAATAAAAGTATATCAAGTATGTGGCTGCTTCAGTCTCAAACTGGCGAAGGCTGATCATCTCTGCTCGGTAATGTCAAAAACCAGGATATCAATGCATCAGGACAGGAGAAGCTGGACAATAAAACACCAACACATAAAAAACCTGAATGTCAACGCATCAAAACATTCATGTTTGGAGATACAGACAGACTATAGATTAGATAGATCCATAGATCACAGATAGATGTTTTCATAATGGACCTAAACATCTCAATTTCTCACCGTTTAATTATTTTCTCTCAGGGTAAGGACACACACACACACACACACACACACACACACACACACACACACACACACAACATCTGGATGCTGTCATTGTGCTGCTCTGTGTGTCGGTGCTGATGGTTACCATGCCGACGCAGAAGACGGTGAAGAGCAGGAACCAGGGCAGGTCGGTGCAGCTCCGGTCCTCCAGCGGTCTCCATTCTCTCTTTGTCCTCTGAAACACACAAACACGGTCACAGTGAGACACCAGCCGGGCCTGCAGGACCGGGCCGGACCGGACCGGGCCGAGCTGAGCCGAGCCGGGCCGGGCCGGGCCTGTCCCAGCCTCCTCTCTCGGTTCGGCTCGGCTCGGTGTCACTAATCAGAACATCTCCGTGTGGTTTACCGGAGGCAGGCAGCGGAGCGGTGCCGCTAGCAGGCCCGGTAACCCGCCTGTTCCCGGGAGGAGCTAATTGGATTACGAGCGCTGCTGGCTCTAATCCCAGCTCGGCCCTCTCGGCTGCCCGGGACCGCTGGCCCCGACACGGTGAAAAAACAAACACGCACCGGTGCTCCGCTGAAGGACACCTGTGATGACGGTCCCGAGCCGGGCCGGGCCGGGTCGGACCGGACCAGGCCGTGCTTACCTCCGCGCTACCGCAGCATCCCATTGCAGTCAGGGTGGACGTGCCCGGAGCTTCACGGAGCCTCACGGAGCTTCACGGAGCCTCAGCTCAGCAGCAGCGGGGGTCTGGAGCCCGACAGGCGGGGGGAGGAGACGGACAGCCCCGCGTGATCCCGCAGGCCGAGCCCGGAGCGGAGACGGTCCCGACGGTCAGACTGAACGCTCCGGCCCGCTGAGCATGCTACTGTCGGAGCCTCCTCCGGTTACCGTACCGAGCGGGGATTAACGGCCGAGGATTTGTCCGCCACACTTCCTGGTGGGCCGTCAGGTGCTGCGGCCATTCATCTCATTGCGCATGCGCAATTAGCGGCCGCGCTGGAGCGAAGCTGAACAACAAACCGGGATGCAGCTGCAGTACCGGCTCTGACCGCTGAGCGCAGCGGAGCGGCAGAGTGGCGCTGTTGCGAACGTTCCTCCAGCTGGAGAGTCCGACCAGCGCTCTGACACAATCACTGAACATTTAACAATATCAGCCACTTTTCACTCAGATCAGCAGGAATTAGAAACTTTTACAACTCCATTTGCTCAAAACCTGTGATGGCACAGCAACACTGGAAATCAGACTAACATCTGCTGTATTTATATTTTAATGACAAAACATTTGCAGACATGAAACCAGTGTAAACAGTAAAGTGAAATGATCCAAGTGGCACAATGACAACACCAGAAACACACTGGGGCTGCGGCACAACAACAGGACTGTCATTTAGGACGGTTTTTGAGTCAATACAAACTGTTGCTTTGGCTTATAATGTTGAGCCCAAACATTATGTTCAGAATGAGCTGCAGCTGATGGAAAATAAAGCCTCAGAGCTGTTTAACGCACAGCACCGGAGTGAACTGGACTGTTCTGTGCGGTCAAACTGAAGGAACAACAACAGCGAACTGTCGTTTACCTTCTTCCTGAGGCGAACCTGCTGCTGAGAGCTTGAGGAGAGGCGTTTAGGGTCCATGGTTCTGGAGGGTCCTGGAGGGTTCTGGAGGTCCTGCGGAGTCGTGGTGCTGCTGTCAGTGTGAGCACAGCAGTGATGTGGGTCTGACCAGGCTGCCGAGGACAGAGAGCTTTTGTCTTATTGTTGACTGTTGTACCAGGCTGAACACTGAGAGAGTGAACTTGTATTACTCATGTTGTGGGGACAGAAATCCTGTTCAGAGCACTAAAGTAAAATCTGTTTTTCCATCAAAGTCAAACACTTAAAAAAATAATAATAATAATAATAAATCACAGTTCTGTACTGTTATTGTATTTTATTATACTATAGATGATACCTTGTAAAATCACAGTGGTAAAGTAATAATTCACATGTTAACTTACCAAAATAGGACCAAAAGGTATTCAAAAATGCTAATTTGAACATTTTTTCACTGCATATAAATCAGCACTATGAGTGGATGGAAGCAGTCTGAGCAGAGGAGATGCATCAACAGACAGACTGAGATGTTTCAAAGGAAGCACAGAAGAAATGATGCTCTCACACCAAAACAGAAGCTCTGGACAAAGACGGAAAATAACTCCACAGTTAGTCTGAGTCGTCTTTTGTTTGCTCCACATTTCTGTTTGTGTTTTTGTCAAAGTTTAGTTGTTCAGCCATTTAACTGTCATATGTAGAATCGATGCATCGATTCAGCGGCGACATCAAAAGAGGAAAATAGAATCCGACACTGAGAGACTTTAAGTCAAAGAATATTTATGTAGAAAACCCAGAGACAATCCATTTGACCAACAAGAATATACAGAACATCAACCAGAAGTGCACGTCCACCATGTCATAGTAAAATAAACATCAGCGTTATCATGTGAACATACATCAGAAACGGTACTATTTCTGTAGAATACATTACATCATGTACCATCAGATAAACAACAAAAACTTCTGAGCTCCAACCTTTCTTTTTTTTTCTCTACTTTGCTCTTCTAGCAGGTTAAAATAAAGCAGGTGAGCTCATGTCAGCATGTTTTCTTACTGGGTACTTTCTTGCTGTTTGTAGAAATAACTGTTTGTCATCGTTTGGAAATTCAGCTGGGACGAAATAAGAAGCAGTGAGAGAGCGCCAGCAGGCTGAGGTGGAACAAAAACTCAGCCAGCAGCGTTCTCGAAGGTTTTCGGTTCTGCTGGTTGACGTGTTCTTGGTGATGTTTGATTAGTTTAAGTCGGAGCTGAATCCCAACATTATCCTGACAAAAAGTTCAGGTTTCTGGCAGCCGGCTGGAGTTCACCTTTTGGCATCGTCAACACAAATCTGAAGCAAGCTCATACTTTATAAGGTCTGAGATCAGGTTGCATCCGAAGAAGAAATTCTTCCTTCTCAACTCAGACATGGTCACACTGTAGGGGTTCTATTCAGATTCTGGTTCAGACGGTCAGAGAGCAGAGCTTTGGTGCAACAACCTACAGTAATAAAACTTTATAGTGAGAAAAAAACAAAAGCTGACACCAGTCTGGTCTGTTGTTCTATCAGCATTAATCCTCTGAACGGCAAACCTGTCAAAAGGCAATGATGCTACTTATCAGCCAGAAAGTGTAAAGAATCAATTGATTTTAAACTTT